CAGCCTGCAGATTTCCCTTCAGTTAAATCCCATGAGTGAAATTCTGAAGTTTTAAATAAAAGACCCAGATTTCTACCTTTTCATGAAAAAAAAAAAATCTCATGTGGAAGCGACCAACCTGAGGCAAATGCCACTGACTTCCTTGTGCCACAGAATGGTAAAGGTGGGTTTGCTTAGCATGTACGAGGCCCTCTGGTCCATACTACATTGCAAACACATGGAATGACATCAGTGGTGAGTGGTACAACTGTAGCAATCACTTGAGGCAATGACTTCCATCTTGGTTAAGATGCCCAAGGTGGGGTAGGATTAAAACAACAGTGCTTATGTGTGTTTGAGAACTGTTGCCTCCTCCTCAGTGCTGTTCAACTGTCTGCTCTATAGCAAGCTTTCTTGTCAGACTATCTATGGACTGCCAGCCCACAAATATTGACCCAGAGGCTTATTATTAATTATGGAAGCTTGGCCTTAAAATAACCTATTTAAAAAAAAAAAAAAAAAAACATCTTCTTCCACGTGGCTCAGTTACCTCTTCTTTGTACGGCACCCTCAACTTGCTCCAAGCCTGCTGGTGAAATCCCAGTTTCTCTCTGCCCAGAAGTCCTGCCTAATCTCTCCTGCCAAGCTATTGGCTGCTCAGCTTTTTATTACACCAATCACAGCAATACATCTTCATACAGTGTACAAACATCCCATGACACTGCTCTGATCACTTCAGGGTGTCAGCCCAGAACTTCTCTTTAGCTACCACTTTGTCCACTGGTTAGGCAAAACACACCTAAAGGCTCTTATTTCACTGGCCCGTGTCATGCCTAGTCTCTCTCTCTCTCTCTCTCTCTCTCTCTCTCTCTCTCTCTCTCTCTCTCACGCATGCACACTCACACACATACAATGCACACACACAGCACAGCAATAAGAAGTGAAGAAAGGGATACTTTTTTTTGTTCACACTCAGGGATTTTTATTTATTTTTTATTTTTCTGTTTTATATTTTACACTTTTTATTAAATTATTTTTTTAATATTCCTATGCCAGTTCCCCCTCCCTCCTCTTCTCCTGTTCCCCCCTCCCCCCCTCCTCCCATCTGCTCTAGGGAGAGGGTAAGGCCTCCCCTTGGAAGTCTACTAAGTCTGTCCCATCATCTCATTGAAGCAGGACCAAGGCACCTCCCCACCCTCACACCCCTGTGTCTAGGCTGAGCAAGGTATCTCCATATAGAATGAATGGGCTCCACTAAGTCAGTTTGTGTATTAGAATTAGATCTTGTACCCACTGCCGTTGGCCTCGTATATCGCCCCAGCCACACCATTGTCACCTATATTAAGGGAGTCTAGTTTGGTCTTATGCAGGTTCCCCATTTGTCAGACCTGAGTCAGTGATCTCTCACTAGCTCGGGTCAGCTGATTCTGTGGGTTTCCCCATCATGGTCTTGACTCCTTTATTGCTCCTCCCTCACTTCTATTGTACTCCAGGCGCTTGTGCATTGGTTAGTTGTGGATTTCTGCATCTGCTTCCATCTGTTTCTGGAAGAGGGTTCTAGCTTCTCTGGGGTGGTGGATTGTAGGCTGGGTATCTTTTGCTTTGTCAGATGTCCACTTACGAGTACATACTATATTTTTCTTTCTGGTAAGGGTTACCTTCTTGATGATGTGTTTTGTGTTTGTTTTCTGCAGCCATATATTTCCCTAAGAAAGAACACCTTTATGCAAAACAAACAACAACAAAAATTTGCCAGGTGAAGTAGCCTGAGTAGTCCTGTAATCCCAACACTGGTGTTGGGTGGGTGAGGCTGAAGCAGGAACAACATGGACTACATGGTGAGACTCTGGAAACAAACAAGCAAGCCAGGTATGGTGGCTTAGTCCTAGCACTCAGTAGGCAGAGGCAGGTAGAGCTCTAGGAGTTCCAGGATAGCCGAGGCTACAGAGTGAGGCCCTGACTACAACAGTTCCACAGAAGCCCACCTAAAGAACACACACACGACTCTCATCTGTCAACACCCTCCTTGCAAGAGACAATCCTGCCTCATGTTCTCTGTTGCTCTAAGAGGAGACACAAGGTCTGCCCATGGGCAAGAAGGAGCAAGTCAGGTGGATAGATTTCCAACTGCCAGGCACTTCTCAGCCAGTGCGGACACAACTCCCCTAGCTATCTGGGGACATACAGCTTCTAAGAAAGAAGTTGTCTCTATTTTTAAACCAGTTTAAAAGCCCTATTAGATACATAATTTGCTCAAGCCAACAAATAATTGCTTAAGAAGAATGCTTGCCACACAATAACCTTTTAACACATGCAGTTCCCAAGTTTCGCTTACAGGCAATTTGAGGAATGATTTTTTTTTTTTCAAAATCACTTTGTGTTCCTTAGAAAGGTTGAAATGCTATGGGGACTTCACTGTTTAGAGTTTGAGATTCATTTGAGTTGATCAATGCTTTAATCCCAGCACTTGGGAGGCAGAGGCTGGAGGATCTCTCTGAGTTCAAGGCCAGCTGGTCTACAGAGTAAGTACCAGGACAACTATGACTACGTAGAGAAACCCTGTCTTGAAAAAGCAAAAACAAAAACAAAAAATGAAAGAAGGAAGGAAGGAGAGAAGGAAGAAAGAAGATATTCATTTGAATCTTTCATTCTTGTTTGTGGACATGGAAGTGTGTACCACAGAGCTCGTGCAGAGGTCAGCTTTCAGAAATCATTCTCTCTTCCACCATGTGGATTCCAGGGGTAGAACTCAGGTCATCGGGCTTGAACAGCAAATGCTTTTACCTGCCCTGGTAGTTTCTATGGTGGCTGCAGGAGCTAATGGGGAATGCCCTAAGATGTTGTGTAGTGGGACACAGCATGACCCTCTAGGATTTTCACTGTGGTCAGAATATGTTTCCCCAAATTCATGTGCTAGAACTTAGTCATAAGTGTGAGCGTATTGAGAGATGGGGCCGCCAGCAGGTATTGAGTCAGCCACGAGGGTGGAGCTCCCTGGAAAAGGATTGGTGACTTTATAAAGGGTTGAACGGAACTGATGCTTGTTTCTTTTTGTACTTCTGTCCCTTCCACCATGTGACAGCTCAAATTCCAGCTGGGAAACAAAGATCAGGTCTTCATCTGGACTTCCCAGCCTCCAGAACTTTGAAGAATAACTTTTTATTTTTTGATTATTCATGCTCAGGTATTTTTTTATAACAGCACAAATAAACCAAGACAATATTCTCAGGAGATATTCTTGCTAACCGCCCTGGAGCTGTTTTGAAGAAGCAGACCAATGGTGGAGTATATGTATACTGCCTGCAGCAGATGAATGGGTTTGGATCCCCCACCCCCCGGACTTGCAACCCTTACCTCCCTATCCCACTCTTTGGACCAGGTGGACAGGCAAGGGATGAGGAGTCACAATGGAGATGAAGCACACAGTGCCTTCCACTGGTGAAGTTGTTGCCAATCCTAACCAAACACAAGAACCCAGAACAGAACCCAAGGAGTTTGCTTGTGGCTGAGCCTTGGTTTGGCTGTTGAATGTCTGGCCAGTGCTTACGGCTGTTCCTCTCAGCTCAACTTTTTGGGTTGCTCTTAGAGCAAGCAGGTTGGAGCCCCACCCTTCACTATCCCCTGAGGTAATCTTTTAAAACTCCCAGCTGTGAGTGAAGGCCCCATTCCCCACCCCCCCCCACCTCACCTCTGAGCTTCTCAGGCCTCTTTGGCCCTCTCTCCTGCTGGTAATTTCCCAGGCTGAATCACTCTGACTATCTGGCCATCTCCTGGGGCAGACAAATAGTTTCAAACATTCTCAGTGACTCATGTGTCCTTAGTAGTTCTTGTATTTATTTTTTTGTTGATGTTCTGCACATACACACACACACACACACACACACACACACACACACACACCCCATCACCACCACCACCACCACCAAAAAAGTCAGAGAATACAAAACTTTCTCCGTGCATGCTTTTACTTGAATGTTAGTTTTCTCCCATACAATTGAAACAAAGGTCTGATTATTTCACCTTTAAGCAACTCCCAGGACTTTCTGGATGAGGAAGGAATAGTATGCTGATTTTATAGAGAAAAAACTGCCAGCCGCTTGGTATGCTGGGCCACTTGCTTTGCCTCCCTTAGTGACTCTCGAATCTGAACCTTGCATCCAAAACCCTGCAATAATGGGACTAACAGAGGCAGCAGGACAACCCTTTTATGACTTGAAGCAGTCTGAAAAGTGTCCCTGGGACCAGGAGAACAAGACCCCATGATAATGTTAGCCTGAGTGGGAGCAGAGTGGGCCACTGAGAATAGCTGCCATTTGGGTCAGCAGGAACTAACTGGGGAAGTTCTTCAGGCAATATTTTGGTCTCTGCTGTATGCTGGTATGAATGCCACAGACTGCCAACTTCACAGCATGCCGGACCCTCCATCCTCATCCTGGCACATTTACCCAGCCTTATCTTGCTGGATTTTTTTCACTCCACTGCACCCTCCTAGTAGACTACAGTCCAGGCATACCTCCTAGTCACACAGCTGCGGAGCAAGCCAGGATGCTCTCACGGCAGAGATTCTGAACACTCTGTTCCCTCCCAGCATGTTCTTCCTAACCCCTCTCCCCGGAGAACTCCTACTTATCCTTCATGGCCCAACTCACGCATTTTTCCCCCTGTATCTCTCCAAACAGCCCCAGAACGTCTGATCCACCCTGTACCTAATGTACAATTCTATTACACAACCCTTTTGACCTCAGTGTCAGTTAAATGATCTACTGGTAAGAAATTCTTTTGCAATATTTATATAGTTTTCATGATATGGCATGATGCAATAATAGAAAATGTAGGAAGCCTGTGGAGAAAAACCTCCCAAACTATCTGCAGTCTTACTGGAATCTGATAATATTAACATTTTGTTTCTGAGCCGGCATGCACATTGGTGCATATCTACACACCCAGCTGAAACGGGGGGGGGGGGGGGGGGGGGGGGGGGGGGGGGGGGTGTCTGTCACATGCCTGAGACTGGTCTGAGTCACATAACAAATAGTTTTTTTAAGTCTCCATTTCTGTATTTTAAAACACCAGGTATATTACTATAGCTTACATAACATATAACCACCCATTTAAATTATATAATGAATTTGATGAATTTTACTATACAGTTGTTCACCCACACAATTGTTTTATAAACATTTATGCCTCATATCCTTTGGTAATTCCTGTTTCCCTTATACCCTACTCCCAGCCAACCCTAGGAAACTACTGACTTATTTTTTGCCGTCTAGACTTGCCTAGACATTTCATATATATGGAATTATTCAGCATCTAGCATGTTGTGTTCCTCCTGCTTTAACCTTCTGAAAACAGGTGTACAGGTGGGTGACATGGTATCTGGCTAATAATTCCTTTTATATTTTCTTGGTTTAGTGTTATTTATACTTGCTGAGGATTTTGTGACTATTTACAAAAGTTTTCTTTTATTGTATATCTCTGTCTTGTTTGGATCTCAACAGCATACTATCCTCATAGAAAAGTAAGCAGTCCCTACATTTATACCTTTTGTGAGGTATAATATTCTGAGGAATTAATATTAATTATTATTATTTTAAAAATCTGTACAGCTTGCCAGTAAGACTATTGGGGCCTGTTTTTTTTTTTTTTTTTTTTTTTTTTTTTTGTTGTTGGTTGTTTGTTTTTTATCTGAAGGTAATTCTAAAATTACTCATTGTCTTGAAATGAAGATTTTTATTATTATTCAAATGTTGTGAGGTCAACAAATTAAGAAATAAGCCTAAGGACAGGACAGTTTGTTACTTATGGTTCCCAAGAGGACCAAGCCATGGGGAAACATCAAAGGCCACATGGGGAAATATCAGGGCAGTCAGGGAGTAAAGGGGTCAAGGGGAAAACAGGGGTAAGAGGCTTCATTGCAGCTTCTGAGGGAGGAATAGCTGATGAAGAGTGAGCAGGGTTAGGATTTCCTGGTAGGAATGACTTTAGAACATGGTCTCTGGGGCCTGTAATTTGTTTATGGATTGTGTGGTACCTGGGCCTGCCATGGTTATGACTGAAGAGGATAGTCCAGGACTGGGAATGTGTAGCTTAGGGGTCAAGTGCTTGCTTAGCATGCCAAAGACCCTGAGTTTGGCTGGAGGTAGTATGGGATGTGGATTTTTTTAGTTGGCACATGTCAAAGCTTGTTAGCTTATATAAACTGGTAGCATGGGATTCTCTCTCCTTATATCTACTAGACCTCAGATTCCAGATCATCAGAAATAATAATTCTCTTTCATGTTTCTTATAAGATAAATATACAACTTTGCATTGAGTCTTGTTTCATTTAACAACTTCTAATATTTCTTCTCAACTTAAAACAGTGAATTAAAGCTGGGTGTGGTGATAAATGTCTTTAATCCCAGAAATTGGGAGGCAGAGGTAGGTGGATCTCAGTGAATTTGGAACCATCCTGGTCTACATAGAGAGATCCAACACAGCTACATAGAGAGACCCTGTCTCAAAAAGCAAAGCAAAGCAAACTAACAAGAATACCAAT